ACAAGGTGAGGCTGCATGGGGGGAGGGAGGGGGGAAGGGGGGGGGGGAGGGGAGGCTGAGGCAGGCTGAGGCTGAGGCAGGCTGAGGCCGAGGCAGGCTGAGGCTGAGGCTGAGGCTGAGGCTGAGACTGAGGCTGAGGCTGAGGCAGGCTGAGGCTGATGCTGAGGCTGACGCAGGCTGAGGCCGAGGCAGGCTGAGGCTGAGGCTGAGGCAGGCTGAGGCTGACGCCGAGGCAGGCTGAGGCTGAGGCTGAGGCAAGCCGAGGCAAGCTGAGGCTGAGGCGGAAACTAAGGCAGGTTGAGGCATCCGTAGGAATCCATAGGAAGCCCCAGGAATCCCTAGGAATCCGCAGGCATCCTTAGGAATCCGTAGGCATAGTTCAGCATCCTCAGTAATCCTTAGGAATCCTGAGGATTCCTTAGGAATCCTTAGGAATCCCTAGGAATCCATAGGAATCAGGATTCCGAAGGATTCCTAAGGTGACCTAAGGAATCCTATGGATTCCTAAGGATGCCTAAGGATGCCTTAGGAATCCCTAGGAATCCTCAGGTTTCCATTGGATCCTAAGGCCGTTGCCACTGCGACTGTCATTGCGAATGCGACTGCGACTGCGAGAACAGCTTAATTCTACAGCTGGATTCTCACCTGAATATTAAGGGGAATGCTTCCAGGTATGCTTATACACATCGCTGTTAGGTTGCTTTGCCAGGATAATTATATGTAAAACTTAATGGCTTTCCATCATGTTCAGTAGCGCACGTGTACGAAGGAGTCCTTGGCGGCTCACTGGCGGGAATAACACAAACAGCGGGGATAAACAAGTTCGGGCTGGGCGCGCAAGAAGGAAGAGAAGTCCTTCGGAAATCAAGCGGGGGCCTTAGGAAAGCCATAGGAATCGTCAAGACCAATAATATATTCGTAAAGACATCCATCAACGCCCTTCCAAAACCCATCCACTTCCTAGAACAATGTATTTCCGTCCTCTGGAATTCCACCGCAAACCTCAGGACATCTATCGGATTCTTCAAGCATTACGTAGGATCCCTTCGAACATCATGGGATTCCATATGAAATTCCATGGGATTCCTGAGGGCACCAATAGGATTCCTTAGGACATCGATCGGGTTCCCCAAGGCATCCATAATATTCCCGAGGAAGTGAATCGGACACCTGAGGAATCCTTGCTACTCAGCATAATAAAAGAAAACAACTTTGATTCAAAATGCATTCGCTGGGGATAATCAACACTCAATGGTGAAGGGGGGGAGTAATTCTTTTGCACAGCTGTGCTCTAGAGCTCTGACATCTTTATTGCCGTCGTGGTTCGTGGTTCGTGGTGGTTCGTTCCCCTCGCCCCCCCCCCCCGAGCCTGAGCCCCAGCTCCCCTGGGCCACCCACCCTTCGGAGGCTTACTCCGTCCAGGCTTCCCAGGACAGCCCCCCTGGGCCGCGGACATCCTTATTTTCGTCGTGGTTCGTCGAGGTTCGTGGTGGTTCGTAGCCCTCGGCCCAACCCCTGAGCCTGAGCCCCAACTCCCCTGGGCCACCCACCATTCGGAGGCTTGCGCCGTCCAGGCTTCCCAGGGCAGCCCCCCTGGGCCGCGGACATTTTTATTTTCGTCGTGGTTCGTGGTTCGTGGTGTTTCGTCCCCCTCGCCCTCCCCCCTATGAGCCTGAGCCCCAGCTCCCCTGAGCCACCCACCCTTGGGAGCCTTCCTCCGTCCAGGCTTCCCAGGACAGCCCCCCTGGGCCGCGGACATCCTTATTTTCGTCGTGGTTCGTGGTGCTTCGTCCCCCATCGACCCCCCCTTGAGCCTGAGCCCCAGCTCCCCGGAGCCACCCACCCTTGGGAGCCTTCCTCCGTCCAGGCTTCCCAGGGCAGCCCCCCTGGGCCGCGGACATTTTTATTTTCGTCGTGGTTCGTGGTTCGTGGTGTTTCGTCCCCCTCGCCCCCCCCCCCCCCCCCTATGAGCCTGAGCCCCAGCTCCCCTGGGCCACCCCCCCTTGGGAGCCTTCCTCCGTCCAGGCTTCCCAGGACAGCCCCTCCTGGGCCGCGGACATCCTTATTTTCGTCGCGGTTCGTGGTGCTTCGTCCCTCTGGGCCTCCAGTCCTTCGCAGCTCCTTTGTGCAAGAGCCAGGGCACGCGTGCCACTCGTTCATTATCCGAGGCTGGCGGCATGCTCGCAACGCCAGAGCCTGGGTCTCGAGACGGAAACAATCCGCGCCCCCCAGACGGTCTCTCCACAAGAGGGCACTTCAGAATGGGGCCCAGGGACACACAAATAAATACACACAACTCCCAGGATGCCCCATCGGTTCATATGTTTTCCAGGAAGTCATCTTCCCCCCCACTTCCCATACTTTCCAACATTTTCATGGAAGCTGGCGTGTAATTGCGTCTGGGTCTCTTCCCCTCCTGGACGTTGGCCAGCGGCCCAGCGAACCCAACCCTTCCCGATGCCCGCAGAGTCGGAGCAGAAGGGCCTTCTCACGCGGCAGCTCTCTCGGCGGGCCTGCAACGCACCCGTCACTGGGCGCCCACCGCGGTGACGCCGAGGCGATCTCTGAGGGCCGAGCGCGGAGGCCCCCAGTGGAGTGGGACAAAGTCGCGTCGAGGACGGACTCGGACGGGGATACAGAGCAGAGATCCACCCGAACAATGTCTGTCATGTTCGTGTTGTTTTCGGGCTCCCTCGTGTTGTGTTCGATCCGCCTGCGCTGCAAAACGAAAGCGAAAAGAAAGCGGCCACGAAATCACCAACACACCATGTAGGTCGACCATGTAAAATAATCCCCACATTTGCGGATAGGACTGTCGGGAAAGCGGAAGTGTTCAGCGTGGGCGACAGGGGTAAACCACAAGCATCCGGGAGGCCGAGCGAAACACGAGGCGTCATAACCTTTCACGCGCAGACACACAGGCGTGAATTTCGCGGCCGCCTGGTCAAACTCAGCGAGGGCGTTGGCGGGTTGCGGTAAGCTGATTTCCACCGAACTAGCGCCGATAGGAGGCGACAAAACAGGGTTGCGCATGCAGACCAACGGCGTGCACGACTGCCAAACACACGCAGCAACGCCAATGGCCCGCCTAGGAGCAAACCGAGGCGGTGAGGAAGACGCGCACACACACACACACACACACCCTCTCAGTCAGACACACAGACACAGACAAACGCGCGCACACACACACAGACACAAACACACACACACAGACGCACACACACACACAACACACACACACGCGGGGCGTGGACGGACCCGCGGAGTACTCTTACACACACACACACACACACACACACACACACACACACACACACACACACATACACACACACGCACACACACACACAAACACACAAACACACAAACATTCCTGGCGCGCTGCCGTGGTGCTCAACGCTCCCCTCTCCCCGCTGTTGCGGCTGGTCGGCCCCATGTCCGTCCTCCAACCCCTCCCCCCCGTCACGCCCCCTGTGCGTCCTCCTCACGCTTCACAAATCGACCTTCTAGACTACCCCCCCTGGCAGAACCACGGGACGTGATGGTATGGCGGGCTGGGCGCTTCGTTTGAGACTTCCTCACGATGCATGATCCCTCCCCTCCCTCATGTCTCCGTCTCCTCCTCCTCCTCTCCCTCTTCCTCCGCCTTATACTCTTCCTCCTCAATCCCCCATTCCCCGTCCGTCCCGCCCACCCCCGCCCTCGCCGCAGTCTGTCGCCCCCGACACCACAGCCGCCGCAACTGGTCGTCGTCACCGCCGCCATGGCCGACGCCGTCGCCGCGGCCGCCATCGTCGTCACCGCGGCCGTATCATCGCCTCCGCCGCCAGCCGAGAACTCGCCGCCAGGCCGACGGCGTCGCCGCCGCGGCCGGCCGTCATCGTCGCCGCCGCCGCTAGCAGCCTCCGCGGACAGCTCCACCGCCGCCGCGGCGCAGCCATCGTCGTCGTCGCCGACGCGGCCAGCCGTCATCGTCGCCGTCGCCGCCAGCCGCCGCGGCGCCGCCATCGTCGGCCGCCGCCGCTGCGGGCAAAATTGCATCCAGATCCCCTGCGTCGTGGGAGTTCGGGCTCCATCTCCCACACACTGGAGGCGCAGTGCACGCGTCTGGCCCCCAGAAGCGAAATTTCTACATCCTCTGCGCCTCGGCATTTTGGCGCCAGAGAGCCCAAGATGCAGTGGAGATGCATCACATTCTTGCCCTTCACCGCTGCCTGTCGTTCTCGTCGCCGCCGCCCCTGGTCGCCGCCGCCGCCGCCGCCGCACTGGCCGCCGCCACCGCCGCCGCAGCCGCCGCCGCCATCGTCGCCGCCGCGGGCTGGCGTCGTCGTCGCCGCCTCCGCTGCTGGCCGCCCTGGGATTCGACGCCTCGAAACAATGGAAAAAATATAGAAAATCGGCACGGGAGCGCCAGACCCAACTCTTCTTGAGATGGACCCTACCCCGGACCCCAGTTACCGATGCCGCTACTCCCCGGACCTCTCCTGGAGTGCGCTCTGGCCAGGATCGAGGCGATGCCAGCGGTGGCGACGAGGATCCTCCAGAAGGCCCAGAAAAGGGGGGGAAAAACGAGGGGAGGGGGGCGGTATGGGTATCTTGTCCTGCCCTGAGCCCTGGCCCCTCCCTGCCCTCTCCTCCCCCGCACTCTCTGGCTTGAGCAGGGACCGACCGTCCCGGCATTCCTGTAGTCCTACCACGAAATGTTCTTAGAACCCAAAAATGTTCTGAGAACAAAAACAATGTTCTTAGAACATAAACCCGACCTGTTAAAACAAGATAGTCCCAGCCAGAAATGTTCTAAGAACATTTCGTGGGAGCCACAAAAGGTTCTTAGAACATTGTTTGGTAGGGCTATAGGCGAGCCAGGACGCTTCGCCACTGCTTGACTCTGGCCGCCGCCCGCCGCCGCCGCCAGGGCCCCGGGAGCCCTACGGGGCGCCCGAGGCGCCCTTAAGGTGCCGAGGCCGCGCGCGCGTCGGGGCAGGGCGCGGCGCAGAGGCCTGGGCCGCAGCGCGCAAGAAGGGCGCCAATGGTGGGGCTCTGGCTCCTGGCAGGGCTCACGGGCGCCAGCCTTAAGTCGGGCGTGTCCCCCTACAGGGGGATTTTCGACGATGAATTAAAGATGCCCCAAACATACCCCAAAAAGGTCAAAAAATACAACAAACAAAACCAGCCCCAGACAGTTTATGTATTATTTTTTATGATGTTTGGGGTATTTTTTATTTGTCGTCGAAAGTCCCCCTGTAGGGGGCCTGGCCCGACTTAAGCCCAGAGCCTGTGTTTTTTGTTGGCAGGCTCAGGCAATGTTACCTGCCTGGCGTTCGCCCCCCCTCCCTCCTCCTCCCGCCCCTCGTCCAACGGAAACCAGCGTGCAGGTGCCTCTCGACTTGCGCGATCCCCTCACGTGCAGGTCGCCTGCGGCCTACTTCAGGTTCAGCCCCCCCCAGTCCATGCAAGTAAACTTGCTGGAGTCTAGGAGAACAAGCTGCCTCGCCTTCGCTCGATTCCAGAGGGCTTCAAAACGACCCACAAGAGCCCGCCGAGGACCCCCAGAGCGCCTCAAGGGACCCCCCCAGAACAGAGGAAAAAAACCTGTGCACATGCACCGATTCTGGCCAGGCCCATCCTGAGCCCAGGATCGGTGCATACGCCCTCCGACCTTGGCCAGGAAGGCACATGCACCGATCAAGGGTCAAGGATGGGCCTTGCCAGGATCGTTGCATGCGCACAACTCTCTCCGCCCGACAGACGGCGCCCACGAGGCCCCCGGGAGCGCCCGAAGCCCCCCGGAGCACCCTCGAAGCGCCCCGAGGGGCCGCCACCGGAGGCCCCCTCGGAGCGCCCGAAGAGGCCCCCCAGCTCGCCCGAGGGAGCCCCAAGGCGGCCCCGAGGGCGCCGGGAGGGCCCCAGAGAGCCCCCGCAGACCCTCGAAGGTCCAGTCCCTGTGCATTCTTGTCGGCGTCGTGTGCGCCCCGTTGTCTCGCAAGGGGAGCAAGCATGCTCCTCGGTAGTCCTGGCCGAGCGATGCCAAGAGGAGAGCTAAGATGGAGCGAAGACGAAGATAGAACCGGGTGAGGGTAAATGAAGAATCTCCGAGATCCGGCGGCTCTGCAGGATGTCTCGGGCGCCGCGGCCTTCTCAGAGTGTTCCGGAACGCTCTGAGAGCGTCCCAGAACGCTCTGGAACGAATTGACCCTCGCCCTAGCCCCCACCGAAGAGAGCCCAAGATCGAAGCGGAAACCCGAATCGGTGATCCCCCTCCCCCTTTTTCTTCGGGACCTTCCGCCCTAGCCTTCCGCCTCTGTCATTCGATGTTGTCTATGTGGGTGTCCTTGAATTGCGTAGGGCTTCCATGAATTTCGATGAATTCGTCCGCGCCTTCCGTCGGAAGGTATGGAAAGTGGAGGTGGAGGGTGCAATCCAACTGATTGGTTGATAAGCAATATGGAGGGACGCTCCGTGCCATATGTACCCTCACGTGAAAAGCACGTAGGCTGCACTCGCTGTCACGCCGCAGAGCGTAATCCCACAGTGGGTAGTACGCTGTCCCCCCGAGAAGGACCGAAAGCGGATCTTCGAAACTCGAAAGCAAGTCACCCTCATTATCTTGGCGAAAGGCCTAACCATATGCAAAAGTGAGCACCGTGTTGTGGCATCGCTTTCACTGGGGTCGCGAACCGTGTGAAGGGTGCGCCAACATTTGGCGGCGGCGCCGCCACGTGGACCCTGCCACTGGGGTCTGCGGGGGATCTCCCTGCTGGGCCACGAACATGTGAGAGGTGCGCCAACATGGGACGGCAAAGCCATGTGGACCCTGTCGCTGCGGCATTCGGTCCCTATCGGGCCATGAACCGTGTGAGGGTGTACCAAAACTCGGCGGCGCCGCCATGTGGATCCTGCTACAGATGCCTTCGGTGGAGCTCCCTATGGGGCTACGAACCGTGTGAAAGGTGCGCCAAAACGGGGCGGCACCGCCATGTGGACGCACCCACTGGGGCCTCAGACCGTGCGAGGGGTGCGCGAAAAAGGAGCGGCGCAGCCATGTGGACCCTGCAACCGGGGCCTTCGGCTGACTTCCCTACGGGGCGACGCCCCGTCTGAACGGTGCGTCAGAATACGGCGACGCCGCTAGGTGGACCTTGCTAGTGGAGCCTTCGGTGGAGCTACCTACGGTGCCTGCCACGAACCGCTTGAAGGGTGCACCAAAATGGAGCTGCGCCGCCATGTGGCCCCTGCCACTGGGGCCCTCAAACGAGATTCCTATGGGGCCACGAGCGGTGTGACGGGTGCGCCTGCATGGGGCGGCGCCGCCATGCGGACAGTGCCGCTGGGGCCTTCGGTGGAGCTTCCTGCGGGGTGACGAAGCGTTGAGCGGGGTGCGCCGAGACACAGACGTGCGGATGGCAGGGGCAGGGATGAGGGGGGAGGGAGGCGCGCGGGCAGGTGGGAGGGACGGACGCGGGGCGCTGTCTCTTGACAGCGAGGACCCCACGCCACAGGATGGCTGGCAACAAAAAGCATACTCAGGATACGCGGTGAGGATGCAAGAGCCTCGAATGGCCATGCTGGCGATTTTTCTTGAACGGGGATGGCCAACGAAACGTACCGAGGATGGGCCGCAGGGGCAATGATGCAAGGGCAGCCTTGGAACACTGTGCATCCTTACTCTGCGCTTTGATCCTACGTGGCGCCTGGTTAACCATCGCTCGTGAGCCGTGTTTGGCTGCTCTCGGCGGCCTTCGGCGTTTATCTCAAGCCATTTTCTGAGTGCCGCTCGCCAGCCACAGTGCGGCGAGTGCGCGGGGAAAGTACAAGCCCAAGCCTCTGCCTCGATCCTCGGGGGGCAGGGTGCGGGAAGGCTAGAAAGGAGCGAGGGCCCAAGGAGCCCAGCGAGGACGCTGCTCCACTCAAGCGGGCGCCAAGACCGAGGTGTAAAACACACGGGGTGGGCCCGGGCTGGCATCATCAGTTGGCCCGCGGCAGAAAACAGCTTCTATGCCAGCGCCCAAGACTGGTCCACTGACGGATCCATTTGAATTTGACTTCGTTGGCATCCATCGGGGGGCAAAGCATGGCTTGAACATAAACTTTCGGAGGTCCTCGCGGGTTTCCCGCGTCGGCGCTGGACCCCCCTGGCGGCGCCTCCAGCGCCGCCCCTGGCGAGCTCCCGGCGCCAGGGAGGGGGGTCAGCGCAGATCCGACAAATCCGCTCGGTCCTCCGAAACATCCCTCTGAAGGCTAAGCTGGACTAGCGAGTTCTTCCTTTCATCCTCCAAGAGCCTTCTTCCCTTCGGGGCGGTTTGCCACCCTATCTCCTCCACTGGGTCTTAACCGGAGGGGGCCGAGGGGTTCAGAGCGCCCAAGACGGCCCAAGATGTCCCCCAAAGGGCCCAATGCAGCCCAACATGGGTTCCAAACTGGCTTAAGATAGCAGATCATGGTTCTTCTGGTATACCTCAACAGACGGTTCCAACTGCTCTCGGAGCCCTCTCAGGACCCCCCAAAGAGGCAAACACCCTTCAAATGCCAACGTACCATTCAATCCTGTTTGACACCTCGCCCGTTTGCTTCCGATGCTCTCGTGAAGCCTCGAGGTGGCCCAAAACTGGTCCAAGAGGGGCCCAAGAACCCCACCAGATGGCCCCAGGAGCGCCCACAAGCGGCCCAAAAGCGGCACAAGAGGGCGCCCGTGAGGCGATGCTGATGGCCCCAGAAGGGAAGGCAACTCTCGGCGGTGGACAAACCTCCACTTGGCAAACCTCCCCTCAATGAAAACGGCCTGGGACCGAAACCGACGGACCCAGACCCGCAAAAATCACGGCCGCGACGCCCTCTCGCGCGCCGAAAACGGCCAAGTCCTTAATCGACGTGTCAGGGTAGGAGGTCTATCCACCTCCGGCCCATGAGGCGATGCTGATGGCCCCAGAAGGGAAGGCAGCTCGAGGACCCTCCCCATCTGATCGATGGCCTGGGACCCCCGAGAGGGCTCCCAGTGGGCCCCAAGACCCCCCCAAGAGATCGCCAGGAGAACCCCAATCGGGGATGGACAGACCCCTCTTTAGCAAAACGTGTTTTAGTGAAAACGACCTGAGGCCCAAACCTGGTGGGCGCACGCCTGGAAAATAACGGCCACGGCGCCCTCTCGAGAACCGAAAACGGACAATTCACTAATCGACGTGTCACTGTTGGGGGTTCTGCCCACCTCCGACCCAACATCCCCCAAAAGACGTCCCAAGGAACGGACAAGAGGCGATTGTGAGGGCTGGGCTCCTGCGAGCTCCCGCGGCAAGCATCCCACGGAGACTCGACCGTCAAACACCAGGACGGGCCTGTCTAAAAGCGCTGGCACACCTAACCAGCCTCGAGTCTATCCCTACGTGTCCCTGAGATCGGCAAGCCTGAGGCGACGACAGTCTTCGGGATGCGCCCTCCGACACTGAGGGGATGCTGGAGATCGGCATCGGGGTGAGGTGATGCCCATCACAAGGATATGGATATATCCTTGGCTGGTACACACGCGAATTTCCGCGAAATCGAGTCTGAAATCTCCCAGACCGTTAAGCGAGACCGACCGCGTTGGGGATCTAATGACCCAGGCAAACCCAAACCCAGGTCAGTCGGGCTGCAGGATCCTGCGGGCAAGTCCAAGTCCATGCGACCCTGGCTTTGCCAGATCCTGCAAGATCGGACGCTCTGGCTGACCCCCGTGTGCACTGACCCAAGCCTCTTAGGACAACCGAAGTGGGTACTAAAAAAAGGGGGCAGTGGCCAACAACACATGCTGTCCAAACCCGACAACGGCTGCTGTTGGGCAGGGGATTTCTTGTCTTCAGTGAACACCGTCCGCGGTGGCGCGGACAGCGAGTCCTGCCCAAAACGAACAGGACCTGAAGCTGGGCATCGTGCTGATTCTTTCCGTGCCCGGTTCCATCTAGGGAAACTAAGAATGACATAAACATAAAAACTCAGAGGTCCGCGCGGATTTCTCGGATCCGCGCTGGATCCCCTGGCGGCAACTCCAGCGCCGCCCCTGGCGCGCTCCGCGCGCCAGGGAGTGGGTCCAACGCCAATCGGAGAAATCCGTGTGGACCTCCGAATTTTTATGTTTATGTCATTTGAGCAGGGACCGACTGTCCCGGCATTTCTATAAGCCTACCATGACATGTTCTTAGAACCCAACAATGCTCTACGAACGAGAACAATGTGCTTAGAACATAAAAAAGCCGATGTGTTAAAACAAGAGAGTCTCGGCCAGAAATGTTATAAGAAGATATCGTGCGAACCACAAGGAGGTTCTCAGAACACTCTGTCGTCGGCCCATAAGAAAGCCAGGACGCTTCGCCACTGTTTGAGTCATTCTTCTCGGCGGTGGACAAACCTCCCTTTAGCAAACCTCCCCTTAGTGAAAACGGCCTGGGACCGACACCGACGGACCCGGACCCGCAAAATCACGGCCGCGACGCCCTCTCGCGAACCGAAAACGGCCAGTTCACTAATCGACGTGTCAGGGTAGGAGGTCTATCCACCTCCGACACTTACACCCGATCACAACAACGCATGTGGAGAGCCCGACGTATCATCCTCGTCGTCCTCGGCCGCTCCCTCCCTCCTCCCTTTCTGCCTCTTCCCTCCTCCTCCCCTTCCTCCAGGACGTCCCCAGGTTGTCTCCGAAGTCCCGCGGGGATCCCCCAGAAGTCCTCCAGCAATCCTCCAGCCATCCTCCAGAGCTCCTCCAGCAATCCTCCAGAGATCCTCCGATCTTCGTTCCCCTGGCCATCGCCCCGAGCCTCGGGGCTCCCGAGGACCGCGGGCGCTCCTGCCGGCGCCAGCGGCGAACGGCTCCTCGCAAGGCCTCCCCGACCTCGCGCGTCGCGCGCCCGCTCGCACGCGGGGCCGGGGCCGGGGATTGGGCGGGCGCGCGCCCCGCGGGCCTGGCCGCCGGCAACCGCCTCGAGCGGCGCTCTCCTGGGCATCCTGTGGTGCTGGGTCTCGTTCAGGAGAGGCCGCGTCGGGCGTCCCTCCTGACTCCCTCCGCCTGTTCCCCCTCCTTAGAAGCAGAAGAAGAAGAAGAAGAAGAAGAAAAAGAAAGAGAAGAGGGATCATAACGCCATAAACATTAGCTTTTGGCGCTCCCCGCGGATCTCTTGGATCCGCGCTGGACCCCCCCCCCTGCGCGCGGAACGCGCCAGGGGCGGCGCCAGAGGCGCCGCCGGGGGGGGGGCCGGCGCGGATCCAAGAAGTCCGGCGCGCGGAGCGCGCCAGGGGTGGCGCCAGAGGCGCCGCCGAGGGGGGCCCGGCGCGGATCGCAAAAGTCCGCGCGGAGCGCCAACAATGTGTGTTTATGGCGTTCATTCTTCTTCGACTCCACACTCCTCCCATCCCTGCCTCTGCCCTCCGCACGCGCGTTAACCAGTTCGGCACACACTCCCTCCTCCTCCTCCTCCTCCTCCTCCTCCTCCTCCTCCTCCTCTTCCTCCTCCTCCTTCGCTTCCCATTTCCTCCGCCTCTGTGCCGATAGGCTTGCCTGCCCTGGAGGCGTGCCCGACCGCAGGTGCGCCGCCTCGGCTGTAGTGCCCTGGAGTCGTTCATGATATGAACGCGACGCGACCCCAATCCGGGGAAAGCTTCCTAATGCATGGGCGCAATGCTTGGTTTCGCTGGGCACTGCTTCGAACCCTGGAAACCTGGGGAACCCGAGGGTTCTCCGGGGAACGGGCAAAGGAAGCCCCAGAGGCACCAACCTTAGATCGAATAAAAAACCCAGGCAAGCCTCATTTAGGAAAAGGGACTGAATTGGGTGGTGGTGGCGGCGAGACGTCGGACCCTAACACCAAGGTCCTCCTCCCATCCCTCCCATCTCTGCCCTCCGCATGTCTTCGACACACACCCCACGCGCTTCGTGACCCCTCAGGGAGCTCCACCGGAGGCCCCAGGGGCGAATTTCGCATGCGGTTCCCCGCCGATTTCCGGCACACCCCTCACACGCTTCTTAGCTCAACAGAGAGCTCCACCTAAGGCCCCAGTGGCGACGTTCGCATGCGGTTCCCGCCGATTTCGGCATATCCCTCACGCGCTTCGTGGTTTCGTAGGGAGCTCCACATCAGGCTCCAGCGGATGAGTTCTCATCGCCTATGTCACGCTCCTCGCACGTTTCGTGACGCTGTAGGGGACTGCACCTAATGCCCCGCGCATGCGGTTCCGCAACCATTTCGGCACACACCCCACGCACCGCATGGCCCAACGAGGAACTCCCGCGAAGATGATACTCACAATCGCGGTACTCACAATTGCATGTGGTTGGGTCCTTCGCGAGGAGAGGAGGGAGCGCGACCACAGAAGTTTTGTTTCCTGGTGAGACTATGGTCAGCTGGACTTTGCGGACCCGCGTGCCGCAATTCAGCACGAGGCCAAACATCGAGAGAAACTGATGACCACGCAGGGTAACCAACGGCTGACCATCGAAGGAAGCATCGCGTATCACGATCCTCGGGTAACAAGTCCATCTCCTCGGGTAATGAGTCAGACCAGGCTCGGGGTCTGCGTGCCTTGATCTGCTGCATGCGTTAGGCTTCCCGATTGACATATCCCTCCACCTCCTCCTCCTCCACCTCCTCCTCCCCCAGGGTCTCGCATGCCGTACGAGTACGCACGCCTGCAACGCCGATACGCGAAGCAAGCAACATAGGGTGAAGTCCGCCGACTTCGCATCTGGGAAAATTTGCGGTGGAACTGACCATCTTATGACGGCAGTCGCAATCAAACTCACCATCAGATGGCTGGGACCGTACAAAACCAAAAAATGGTCACATATTCGATGATATGACACTCAGTCAAGCGTCAATGTTAGCCGTAAGACACCCGTCCGAATCAAACCGACAAAGCACACAATAGCAAGGAGCTGCGGAGACGGACAGCAGGTGCAGAGGCGCGTGAAAAACACTGCCTTGGCTCCTCATCGTCTCCAACCCCTCCATCGATGTCCTTATCACTGATGGTCCTCCTCGTGCTGCTATCATCCCTAGCCTCCTCCGACCGCCTGTGTGGGGAACATATTCGAATTACAACGGACGAGCCGCCATCGGAACAGGTCGTTTGTTCACCCTCTTCCTCCCTGCAGACTCCGTCTTTGGGCGCGCAAGCAGGCCAACATGTAACCACCTGGTCGTGGGACACACGAAGAAGCAAAACCAAGTCCATCGATGCCTTCGTCGATGGTGTTGGCCCCTCAACCTCCACCCCCTCATGTTGCTCACCCCGAGCAATGAGAGGTAGGTTGTCTACTCTCAGCAAGTAGGCACCACAGACAATACTTAAATGCTGCGTTGTAGCCAAACGCTGCGTAACAGGAGGCCTGCCCGCCCGCGTGGCGGAAGACGTTGCCCACCTGCCGCGGAAAGATTTCAAACGCGCGCCAAGAATCTGCCGACCCACGAGTCCGGGCCAGGCTCAGGGCCTGCGTGTCTCGCTCAGCTGCCTGCGCTAGGCGTCCCGGATGACATCGCTCTCCTCCTCCTCATCCTCACTCACTCACTCACTCACCCACCCACTCACTCACTCACTCACTCACTCACCCACCCACCCACTCACTCACTCACTCACTCACTCACTCTCTCTCATGGCGGTCATAAGGTTCTCCTGTAGCCACCTCCTCCTCCTCTGCCTCCTTCCCTCCTCGTTCCTCCGCCTCCCTCCCCGCCCCTCCTCCTCCTCCGCCTCCTCATCCCCTCCTCCCCCTCCCACTCCTCCTCCTCCTCCTCCTCCTTCTCCTCCTCCTCCTCCTCCTCTTTCCTTCTCCTCCTCCTCCTCCTCCTCCTTCTCCTCCTCCTTCACCTCCTCCTCCTCCTCCTCATCCTCCTCCTCCTCCACCTACTCTTCCTCCTCCTCCCTCCTCCTCCTCCTCCTTCTCTCCTCCTCCTCCTCCTCCTCCTCCTCTCCTCCTCCTCCTCCTCCTCCTCCTCCTCCTCCTCCTCCTCCTCCCCCTCCTCCTCCCCTGGCAGGATCCCAGGGAACGTTTGAGGGTGTGCCGAAAGGGGTTCGGTGCCAACCTGCCTTGCCGCTCCTGCGTCAGCTGTTGGACTAAAAATTCAAAAGGAGCAAAGCAACTACTCCGGCCCTCCGAGATCATGGCCTGGATTCCTGGATACGAACCTGGCAAAAACGGCGGCTTACATGCACTTCTGCTCATCGCCCCAAGAGACGGCCGGATAAGAAGTCAGGCCTTGCCCACATGCTTAAGACGCACCTGAAAGTCAGGACTCCCTATTGCAATTTTGAAACAAAACCGGCATGTGTACGGAATGGCCAGTGACAGCGAAGCTCACAAATATCGCTATCGTGAAGGACTTATGTTTGCGATGCCCGTTGCCCCTTCCGCCCACAAGCCCCAACGATGACTAGCTTGCGACAACTTTAGTGGAGCGAGTCTGGGGCGGAGTCAAAGAGGAGCTGCGGAGACGGACAGCAGGCGCAGAGGGCGTGACAAAAACACTGCTTTGGTTCATCATCGTCTCAAAACCCTCCATCAATATTATCTCTGGCCTCCTCCGAGTCACAATGCACTGCACTGCTGCAGAAACGACAAGACAACATGCCTCCCACCTCTGAACAATGCTGATTGTAAATCACGCGCGCCGTGAGTTCGCCTGCCCGCCCGCGTGGCGGAAGACGTTGCCCCCCTGCCGACCCACGAGTCAGGCCAGGCTCGGGGTCTGCGTGCTTTGATCTGCTGCCTGCGCTAGGCTTCCCGATTGACATATTCCTCCGCCTCCTCCTCCTCCAAGGTCTCGCATGCCCTACGAGTAAGCACGCCTGCAACGCCGATACGCGAAGCAAGCAACAGAGGGTGAAGTCCGCCGACTCCGCGTCTGGGAGAATTTGCGGTGGAACTGACCAGCTTATGACGGCGGTCGCAATCAAATTCGCGTCAATGTTAGCCGTAAGACACACGTCCGAATCAAACCGACAAAGCACACAATAACAAAAACATACCCTGTGCCGAGCGCAAGAAACTGGCTGACGTGCCGATTACTAGCTTGCGCCAAGCTTAACGAAGCGAGCCTGGGGCAGATTGGAGGAGGAGCTGCAGAGACGGACAGCAGGTGCAGAGGCGCGTGAAAAACACTGCCTTGACTCTTCATCGTCTCGAACCCCTCAATCGATGTCCTTATCACTGATGGTCCTCCTCGTACTGCTATTATCCCTAGCCTCCTCCGACCGCCACAGTGGGGAACATATGCGAATTGCAACGGACGAGCCGCCATCGTGATCACCAGCGTCGCAACTTGCATCACTACCAAACGCAGTAGACGGCAGGACGCGCAATTGCACACTACGCGGTTCGCACGTGGCCGAAGCCCCCCCCAGAAACGACAAGACAACATGCCTCCCGCCTCTGAACAATGCTGATTGTAAATCACGCGCGTCGTGAGTTCTGCAACAACCGAATGAGGGTTCCGCCCGAATGGGCGGAGGATCTCATTGGAACCGGTAGTTTGCTCACTCCCCGCAGACTCCGTCTTTGGGCGCGCAAGCAGGCCAACATGTAACCACCTGGTCGTGGGACACACGAAGAAGCAAAACCAAGTCCATCGATGCCTTCGTCGATGGTGTTGGCCCCTCAACCTCCACCCCCTCATGTTGCTCACCCCGAGCAATGAGAGGTAGGTTGTCTACTCTCAGCAAGTAGGCACCACAGACAATACTTAAATGCTGCGTTGTAGCCAAACGCTGCGTAACAGGAGGGCTGGCCCCCCGCGTGGCGGAAGACGTTGCCCACCTGCCGACCCACGAGTCAGGCCAGGCTCGGGGTCTGCGTGCCTTGATCTGCTGCCTGCGTCAGGCTTCCCGATTGACATGTTCCTCCACCTCCTCCTCCACCTCTTCTTCCTCCTCCTCATCTCATCATTATGCAGATAGCACGCAACCCAAGCACGGTGGCGGAACTTCCGTAGGCAGCTGTAAAGAACAAGCAGCACACATTGCACTTGCGAGCGCGAATAAAAACATTTCACTGCTGTCAAGAGTGTCCAGGCTGCCTTGTTAGGCTGTGGGGCTCAAACCAGCCGTTGGCCCTGTCCATCTTAGAGTCGGCCAACCCGCAGCCGGCGCGGATCTGCAGTTGCAGAAAAACGGGAAGCGGGTCGCGAGACTCGAGCGTCAATGCGAAGCCGTTCGACGGCGCGACGTCGCACCCACGGACGGTGTAAGGCCGTTCGGACCCCTCACTCTCGTCTGCTCTGCGATGAAAATTCACCTCCTCCTCCTCCTCCTCCTCCTCCTCCTCCTCCTCCTCCTCCTCCTAGGCCAGGACACCCGCCACCTGCAGCACCGCGTCAGTCCTCGTAGTAGTCCGGCGCCGCCTCCCTGAGCATCGCCGCAAGCTGCTGGGGGCTGAGGTGCCTGAGGGCAGACGCCACACCTGGCAGGCACAGGACCGGCAAGCTGGTGGCGCACCACTCATCCTGCTGCGTCGTCTCCTGCTGAGTTGACCGAGGCGCCTCACCGGAAGCAGATGCGGTCGGCCATTCAGCATCTGCGCCAAAGCGCTTGCGCTTCGTAGTCACGGTAGTGTAACGCTTCATGTCGAGGAACTTGTCCAGCCCGTGGCAGTAGTGGCAACAATCGCACGTCTCACTGCGTGGGCACGGAAGGCCGCTCCCGTTGCTGTGACACGGCCTGCATTGGCCCCTGTGGTGGTTCTTCGAGCCACGGGAGAATACGTCCACCAGGCCCGCGGACTCGTCCCCGGCATCTGCAGGGGGCATCGGCCCGTCGGGCACGGCGCAGGCGAGCTGCTGACCCGCCGGGGGCCCCAGCAACCCGAGGCGCCTTGCCCGCGCGCGCCCGGTCCTGGTCTGCATTAGCCTTTCCAGACTGGCCATCCCGTGACCAGAGGCGAGTGACGCGCTTCAACGGGGGGGGCCGACGAGCCGAGAGGCCAGAGCAGACGAGAGGCCGAGACCGGCGATCGTGAGCCAGGCGGCTCGAGCCAGAATGGCTACGGCAGCGCGGCCAGGGAACTGCACCCGACGCAGCCTCGACCGCTGTGCGAATCGAAAGGTCGCCAGGCAATCTGGGAGCAGTAAGCGAGCCGACCTGCGACAAGCAAGAATGTGCACTGAACCGTGGCATGAGTGATGAGCCAGCGTGCCGCATGCGAAACAAGAGGAAACGAGAGGAGATTAGCAACATCGATATTGCCCCCATCTTGAGCGATATTGAAAACGCTGGGGGTGTATCTTTCTGCCTTCAAGATCGACATTCCGTTTCCTTGTTGGGCGCCGTTTCTGTTACGCTTTCAAGCCTGGGATCAGTCGGTGGACAACCTGTGCGTTGTCAATTCCTCTTCGATACGTTTTGAATGCGTTTTTAGGCTATCATAATGCCGTCTGCCTGACGATCACATCCAGGGTGTTGTTTTAGAACGTCTTCGTCGAATCAACAACGAGGATCATGGAACACGGGTGAAACAAACAACACAGCAGACAACAAAAACGCATCCCGCGCTTATGAAAACAGTTGCTGAGCTGTGGACACGTGGGAACCGAGATGGGGGAGCGGCGAAAACTTGAGCGCGCCCTGGGGATCGCCGCCCCCCCTCCCCCTGGACGTCGGCATCCCTCACCGGGGAAAGGCCCCCCGCCCTTTCCAAAGGGGGGGGGGGAAGGGGTTCGAATCGGCCCCCCCCCCCCTACGCAAGAAGGGGGGGGGTCGAACCGCACCCTTCCTCCTGGCTTGCAAAGGGGGGTGTTCGGACCCTCCCTTCCGAGCGTCCACAGCACAGGAGCTCCCTCTCGGATGGAAACCAGCTCAGAGGCGATGACAATCCTAGGGATGCGCCTCCAGAAACTGCGGGAATCCTCAGGATGAGGAGGAAGGAGGAGGAGGAAGGAGGAGGAGGAGGAGGAGGAGGAGGAGAATCCTCCTCCTTCCTCCTCCTTCCTCCTGCGCTCAAGCGATGCCAGGAGGATGAGGGTATGTTCCAGGATGGTGAGGCCCGGGCCCGCCGCGAGCGGGGGCATCCCCCGCCGGGGAAAGGGCCCCCCGCCCTTCCAAAAAAGGGCGGGGGGTCGAATCGGGCCCCTCCCCCCCGTCCTGTGCAAGGGGTGGGATTCGCATGCCAGACCAACCCCAACCGACTGGTACCACTTACAGACGACCTGGCCACTTCTCCACCAGCCAAAAAGACAGATGGTACCAATGACAGCCGGCCATCTTGGGCTTACACAAGGTCTGCTCGTGCACAGTATGGTGAAAGGATACTGACATCACATGGAAGTCTATCGGGTACACATTCAGTCTAGGAGTCAACATGTCGGGGATGGACAGACCTCCCTTCAGTAAAACGTGGTTTAGTGAAAATGCTTTCGGGCCCAAGCCTGGCGGGCGCAAGCCTGGAAAATAACGGCCGCGGCGCCCTCTCGAAAACCGAAAAAGGACAATTCACTAATCGACGTGTCACTGTTGGGAGTTCTGTCCACCCCCGAGAAATGATGCTGACATCAAATGAAAGTCTATCGGATACACATTCAATCTAGGAATCAACATGTTCACCCTGGTTGGAATCGGTCTACCAACGTTCCGGGATCCGGGAGCTGCGTCGCTCTGCACCGACAACTCGCAACAACACGCATCGCCTCAAAGCAACAGCAGGTGCTCAACACGACAACACATATCCACAACACAAACTTTTGGCGGTGGACAAACCTCCCTTTAGCAAACCTCTCCTTCGTGAAAACGGCCTGGGACCGACACCGACGGACCTGGACCGGCAAAAATGACGGCCGCGACGCCCTCTCGCGAACCGAAAACGGCCAATTCACTAACCGACGTGTCAGCAGGGTAGGAGGTCGATCCACCTCCGACACTTACACCCGATCACAACAACGCATGTGAAGAGCCCGACGTATCATCCTCGTCGTCCTCGGCCGTTCCCTCCCTCCTCCCTTTCTGCCTCTTCCCTCCTTCTCCCCTTCCTCCAGGACGTCCCCAGGTTGTCTCGGGGATCCTCCAGCAATCCTCCAGAAATCCTCCAGCAATCCTCCAAAAATCCTCCGGGAATCCTCCAGCAATCCTCCATACATACTCCAGACATCCTCCATAATTCGTCAATGAATCCTTGAAGCTCCTCCAAGGATCCTCTAAGGAGGCTCTGAGCTGCTTCCGAGGAGCCTCTAAGGAGCCTCAAAGGAGTTCCTAAGGAGCTGCTAAGAGGTTGCTAGCGAGCCTCTGAGGAGCTTCTAAAAAGCCTACGGTGGTTCGAAGGGGCCTCTCAGGAGCCCGATTAGGAACCTCTAAGGGCTTCTAAGAAACTTCTGAGGTGCTTTTACGGAGCCTCTCAGGAACCTCTCAGGAGTCCTCGATAATTCTCCAAGGACCTTCTGAAAGAGCATCTGAGGAGCTTCCAAGGAGCCTCTAAGAAGCTTCTACGGAGCGAGCTCAGGCGATGCCATAAGGATTAGGGTATGGTCCAGGATAGTTAGGGCTAGGGCCCACCGCGGGCGGGGGCATGCTCGTTATTCCCAACCATCCTGTGGTGTTGGGTCCTCGTTTTGAAAAGACGGTGGCCCGCGTCTCCTCTCCTCCTCCTGTCCTCTCCTCCTCCTCCTCTCCTCCTCTCCTCCTCTCCTCCTCCTCCTCCTCCTCCTCCTCCTCCTCCTCCTCCTCCTCCTCCTCCTCCTCCTCCTCCTCCTCCTCCTCCTCCCACCATCATCATCGTCATCACTCATTTCGGCACACCCTTCACACGTTTCGTGGCCCCATAGGGAGCTCCACCGAAGGTCCCAGTGGGCGTGCCCGCATGCGTCCCGCACACCGATTTCGGCACACCCCTCACACGCTTCGTGGCCCCATAAGGGGGCTCCATGGCCAAAACCGCCAGGGACAGTCTGGAGAGCCGATATTCGATGTAACTCATTAAAAAATTGTTTAAATTACGTTTAATTCCAGTTTATTCATAAACGAAAAAATATTAACGTATTGATTCGATTTGATTATGTTTACATTGAAAACCATTCGATTGCAGCTTCATGCATTCGATTTAACAAATTTGCCGCGCGCGCGGTTGGGAAAGGCAGATTGTGCGGCGGAAGCTTGACGGGGGGGCCTCTCGGGGCAGACCTGGGGCACTGGGCGCGCGCGGGGAATTCGAGAAAGCCCGAAGGGCCCCAAAACAACCCGAGAGTCCCGGGAGAGCCCTCCCTGAACCCTCTCCAGGGCCAGAGAAACGAAGTAATTCGGCAGGCAACGTTTTCTGACGCTCCAACCCTCCGAAGAATTTCGAGATGCGGCTGGCGGGCCCCTGGCCAGATGGCCCCGACACGCATGAAATCGACCCTCCCCCCCCCAAAAAAAAACAAAAAAAACTCGAGCCCGACTCGGATCTCAGGAATGCTTCATCGGCGGCAAAGGGGATCCCCCCAAAAAGGCCCCGTTGATCCCCAAAGAAGCCTTTCCATATGGCATTCAGAGGCGGGTGCAAAGCCGGGAGGCACGATGGCATGCGGGGCCCCTCGATGCGCCCAGTGGCGCCCAGGTGGCGGTGACGGCGGAGTGCCGCGGGAGGCATGCTTACACTTATGCAGGAAGTGCTCGGCTCGGAAGTGCCGACAGGCATATGTATATATAAATGTATACACATATGTGCAACGCGATCTTGAGGGATCCGCGAAGACGCCCCCCTCTCTTGAAACTACGGGAGGAAGGTGGTCTGGCGGGGGATGGGCGTCAGCCTTCGTCGAATGGGGCCAGTCGGAGAATGGGCGTCAACCCTCCGAGACTCGTAAGTCCAGACACCCAAAGACACCCAGACACCCAAGAGACAAGAGGCCACGGGCGGCACCCAATACCCGAGACTCACAGGAAGCCTAAGACTTCCTCGAGGCCCCGAGATCCTTGATGTGGGAGGCCGCGTCGCCGCGGCAGGCTCCTCCGCGGCAATCGCCCGCCCCCCAAGCCGAAGCCAAGCCCTCAATACGCCCCAGCGGGCCCCACGAGGCCTCAGACACGCGTACAAGAGGCCCCCCAATTGACCTCCTCCGGGAGGGCCCGAGGCCCCGACAACCTTCCGAGGGCGAGGGGGCTTCATCGGGCTTCCCTCCTGACCCCCCTCCAGGGCCTCAGGGTCGGCGGAACTGGCCGCGAGGCAGAGTCGGACTGCAGTCGAACACGATAGTAAGGACGCCGGGGGCGGCGGGGGGGGCGAAGCCCTGGATTTCAAGCAAGCGCCTATAGCGAAACGCTAACCCAGCAAGGCGCCCTCAATAGCACAGGGGGCGCGGAAATGGCAGCAGCCTAGAGGATAAAGACTATAGCGAAACGCTACCCCAGCAAGGCGCCCCCAATAGAACAGGGGGTGCGGAAGAGGCAGCAGCCCAGGGAATAAAGACGATGGCGAAACGCTACCATAATATTCTCGTGGCAGCTGCATCTATTTTACTGTTTACTCCGTACTTCCTGAGTTCCAAAAGATGCGGCGTTGGTGCTGGCGCGGGCGCAGGCGTTGGTGCTGGCGCGGGCGCAGGCGTTGATGCTTGCGTCGGTGCTGGCACTGGCACTGGCGCCGGCGCGCGCCAGTAGCTGGGCGGCCCGGCGGTAACTCACGGGCGAGCTGCGGCCCCACGGACCCCTTCCTCTCCCTCCTCCTCCTCCTCCCCCCCCTCCTCCTCCGAGGCGCCTCCCCCTCCTCCTTTTCTTTTTTCGGCGGCGCGCCAGGGCGCGCTGGGGAGGGGTGAGGGGGGAGGGCCTCTTGTAAGGCCGGGTGCTTCTTAGAAACCCTCCGAGGGCGTCTAACTAAGAAGTCCCCTGGAGCTGCGCGCTTCTAACAAGCACCCCGCCTTTATTCTAAGAAGCCCCCCCCCTCCCCGGGCCCCCCCATGCCCCCCTCGGCGCACCGCCGATCCTTCCCGCCCTGACCCGACTCGCAGGTGAGTAGGCGCCCAGCGCTGAGGGACCTCCGCCCGCGCCGCCTGCCCGGTCAACGCGGGGCGACGCGGAGCCCCCTGAAGCCGCGAGCAGCTGCAGTGCTCACCAGCTGAACCGAGGGGCCCGAACGACTCATCTCCGACCGAGAACTTCGGGGCCCCTCGGTTCTCGGTCGTCGGTCGGAGGTGAGTCGTTCGGGCCCCGTCGACAGAGCGGCCACGGGGCTGAATCGCGCCAGCATCACCAAGCAATCGAGGGCCCCCTGCAAGGTCGCGTTGGCCGCGGACTTCGTGATCAACAACTTGTTGAGGCCGTCCAACGCGCTGATGTCGGCGGGCGCGAGCAGCGCGCGCCGGACGCCGATGAAGTCGGCCCCCATGATCTTCTCGAAGTAGGTCCACCCTGCTGGCAAGTACGCGATGTCTCCCGGCCCCACCGTTGCTCCGAAGAGCTTGTTGCTGGCTTTTTGGGTCTTGTAGTTCTTGGTCGCTTCCACTGTGGCATTCTTTAGCCAGTGATACGCCTCCTTCAGCGTGGCGGGCCCTTTCGATTCGATGCCACTGTACTCCATGATTGCTGCAGTCGGTGCGCAAATGATCTCCCGCGTGCCCTCGAGGGCTCCAGGGGCCCCAGATATGCACATACCCAAGGCCTCTCCCGAACCATCTCATCCCTCCACCTCCCCCCCTCCCCTCCCCGTCGCCGTCGCCGCCGTCGTCGCCGCGCCGTGGCGCAGGCACTTTGCGCACGTGATCGTCATCATCGTAATCGTCGTCGTCGTAATCGTAATCATCGTCGTCATCGAAATCGTCGCAATCGTCGTCGTCGTCGTCGCGGGCGGTGAGATGGAGGGGGGAAGCACTGGATACGCGCAGATTGGGCCCCGCATCCCCCGACCTTGATGCCAAAACGAACCACCGCAAGATGCCCAGCCTCCGCTGAGCACGTAGTCCGGCCCTTGGCCACCGCGAAGAGCGTGGTCGTCAAGTGCGCCTTGACCGCCTCAGTCGTCTTACTGTCTGCCAGCAGGCCAGGAAAGATGGCCCCAATCTTAGAACTGAATGCCTCCACTCCCTCAGGCTTGATCTTCTTCTGGCAGCGGCCTGGCTCATCCCGACTGGGATCTGTCTTGAACTTCAACTCGAACTTGCTCAAGTCATCCTCCGGGACGAACTTCTGGATCTCGGGGCCGACTCCGATCCTGACGATTAGCGGGAGCTTCATGTCCTCGGGGGTGATCTGATCACCAGCTGCGACGGACTTCATGCTATCACACGCCTGTGCCCAATTGTCTACCATCAAGGTTGCCTCAGGCTTGGCCTGCTTTTTAGGGCGCCCACGCTTCCTGCCTCCTGCTGCTGCAACCTGGGCGTCGCTGGCTTTGTCCTTCTGGGTGTCCTTCTTGGCGTCGTCGATGGCGTTCTTGAGCCGCGTCACTGCCGCCTTCGCCATCGCGAGCAGATCGACGTACGCTGCCTTGAAAGGTTTCATAGACGTGGAAATCGCAACCAAGGCTTCCTTCGACTCAGCTTGTTCAATTTTGGCCGTGTACTGGTCGAACTCGCTGACGACAATGAGCGAACGATATGACCGGCACGGAGGTGCGCTGCCAAGTTCGGGCTTGGCACTGCTCGATGAGAATGACGCAATGTACCTCTTGAGCGCCCGGGAGGCATCGCCACCTGTCTGCATGTAGAACTGGGCCACAGTAGACGCCTCGTCGCCACCGCGAGCCTGATCGTGATCGCCAGCCTTGAAAGGGTCGCCAGGGGGAGCCTTGCCAAGGTCCTCGAAAAGCTTCGCGCCCGCAGGAGCAGCGTGAGCCTCCTCGCCGGCGCCGGCGGCGGCGGCAGGATCTTTTCTTCTCCACCGTTGCTTTGTAATCCCAGTCCCAGTCTTGGCGACAGCCGCAGCGGGCCCTGCCTCACTGGCGGGGGGGGCAGCCTCAGGGCCAGCGGACCCTGGCTCAGCGGCGGGCACCTCCGCCGGGGCCGCCTCAGCCTCAGCCTCCTCTCCTTCACGCTTCATGGCTGGGGGCTTCGAGTCGAAGAGATCCCAATCCTCGGGAGTTGAAGCGCCGTCTCCGAGGACGAGCCTCAACGCGTAGAGGCGGTTCTTGCACAACTTCTTCTCGTTCTTCACGTTGTCCTCAACGTCAGCGCTGACGGACTCGAGCACGTCCCGCGCCGACTCGATGCCCTTCTCCAGATCCGCCTTCGCCCCCTTCTGCCAGTTTTCATGGGATCGCAAGGCCGCCGAAACTTGCGCGTCCCTGTCGAACCAAGGCTTCGGTGCAGAGCCCTTCTGCTTCTTCGGAGTGCCGCCACCCGCTCCCGCCTCGCCCTTCTTCCGCTTGCCGCCAGCCCCCTCGGCGCCCTCCTCCTCCTCCTCATCCCCCTGCTCAGCCGCCTCCTCGGAGTCGCTGTCGAGCTCGCCGACGTCGCCGATCTCTACGGCGGCCCTGCCCGACTCAGAGAACGCCCCATCACCGCCTCCGATAATAGCAGCGCTCTTGGCATTCACGAGCCTCTTAGCCAGGGCAGCCCGCCCTTCATTCGCAGTAACTGTAGCCTTGGGGCCCTCCCTCAACGAAAAAGCCATCTTGTCGATATCTTCCTGCGATCCGCTGCCGCGCGGCTGCGCGGCGGTGGCGTATCTGTCTCCTTACCCTGGTTGCCCTTAGAAAGGGTATCCTCTCGACCAAGGCCCAACACGTAAAAACACATGGATCCGCGCCACACCGAGGCCGCGACAACATGTAGAATTATTACAAAATTGCATAGGTATACAACAGACTGGGAGGGAGAAACGGGACACCAACAAAACGACACCAAGAACTGCCCGTGACAAAACGACGTACGTGGCAAAAGGTTCAGAGGCCGAGGCTCGCTGACGCTAGCATGGCACGGCGCGAGACTCGCCGCAAGGCAATTGGATGCGTTCTTCTTCTCTTTGCCTTTAAGCTGAAGGGTCTGCGCGTTGATGTAAGCGTCACGGTTCGTGATGATATCCGATTTCTTCACCGCTACTCTCTCCGGGTGCTTCTCCACGTGTCCTAGCTTGTCTGTGATCGCACCTGGAGTGTTGTACAACTTCTGCCACTTGGCGGCCGCCTCCTGGGGGTCCATAGATCCGTTCTTGGGCTTCCCCATCCAGCTCACAAAGTGAGGCAAACTCATCATCTCGCTAATGCCATCATAGATCACGGACTGTTCCTGCCTGATCTCCTCGAGGTATGTTGCGATGCTGAAACCCTCCCTCTTCTTTCCCGGCGGCGGGGGCGGGCATCTGGCTTTGTAGTTGTTGCAGACCCTGACCAACTTCTTCGGGTCAGCGCATGCCTCCTCCCACCATTTTTCTTTGCCTTGTGATTTGGCTGCGTTCTTCAGGTTCTGCATGATCTGGCGACCTGGCCCGCACTGGCCAGACCCAGGTGGGAACACCTCGACCGACTCGTACTTACCACATGGTGGGCACCATTTCTTCCCGCCCTTAAATCCCTTCTTCGCCTTGCCGTGATCGTCCACGATCTTGAGGCGCTTATTCTGACCACTACCATCGCCCTCAGCCTTGGCCTGGGAAAAGAAAAACACAATAAGCAAGCATAAACTGTCGGAGGTCCGCGCGGACGTCGCGGGTCGGCGCTGAGCCCTCTCCGGCACCGCGGGCCTTGCAGGCCCTGAGGCGCCTCGAGGGGGAGTCCGGTGCCGACCCGAGAAATCCGCATGGACCTCCGAAGTTGATGCTTATGGCTTATGTCGTTTTTTTGTTCCTCGAGCCTTGCCCTTCGCACGACCAGGTCTGCCTGCTGGATGTTCTGGCGGCGGGGGCTGGGCCTCGGAGGCGGCGATCTTCGGATCCTCCTCAGCTGCCGACGCGTCGGCGCCGCCGTCGTCCAGCTGATCGGGCTCGATGTCGGAGTTGGAGTCCATGGCCGCTGTGGCCGCGGCCGCGGAGGTGCGACCGTCGCGCCCAGGGCCCGCGGCCCGGGGCCGCCCCGGCCCCAATGCACCGGGGCGAGCAGGCGCCCCTGGCCCCTGGGGTCAACCGAGAAGGCTATAGGATCAACGCGAGGACCCTGCACAATTTATCTACGGCAAGTTCGCGTCGTGAACGATCTCCGCTCCTTGAAATTCTGGGAGGCTCTCGACCCCATCAGTCTTGGTATTGATTTCGCGCCATGGGCTCATTTCTGCTTCCTGCGAGCTCCGAGGTCCGAGATGGGCCGCCCCCTCCAGCGGGCGTTCAACTTTGAGCGGGTCGCAGGCGGGCCGGCGGGTCGACACTTTGCGAACTTGCCGCATGTAGCGAAGACAAACAGCCAGGAGGGGGGCAAAGCGGCAGCCGTCATCTGCATGCCCCTGGCTTCGCGAAGCGCAAAGCGCGAAGCGCGAATAACTTCGCGCCCTCGCGCCGCCCCCCTCCCCAAATGGGGGCAGAGGAGGGCGAGGGGGAGGGGGGGGAGGAATGGGGACCGCGAACCGCGAGGCGCGAATAACTTCGCGCCCTCGTGGGAGCCCACGAAAGGGTCAAGAGCTCCAGGCTCCAGGCTCCAGGAGTCTGAGCAGAGAGTTCGGATGGGAGGACGGCCTCCGCGGCGGGCGGCCGAGGACGTTGCGCCGTCGCCGCGGGCCCGCCTGCGCAGTCTAACCAGTCAAAGTCGACAGTAAGGGCGCAAGGTAAGGATGCAAGTATCCCGCTGAGGGGTTGCGGTCGGGGCACGGGCGGAAAATCGTTCAGCCATGCTGCTGCGCGGATCGCACCTCACCCCCGTGGATTACATTATCGGAGAGGGAACTTCCGCAGTTAGGGGGGGGATTTTGTTAACCCCTGTCCCGGCCGCGTGGCCGATGCTCGGCCCTCCGACGAGAACGTAGCTACCAGCGTTATCAGCCACGCAGCCGGGACAGACGCAACGCCAGAAGTCAGCAACGCGCGCGCCTTGGTTCTAGCACGGGCTGCCGCGCACTGGGGGCGGACAAAATCCTGCCCCCCCAAACCAGACGCGCGCGCTTTGGGTCTAGTTTGTTGCGCCCCCCCGCGCTGGTTCGCACAACAGTTTGTCAGACAATTCTGTTTGACATTCTGTCTGGTCAGCACATCAGTTCGTTAGACAATTCTGTTTGACACTCTGTCTGGCCAGCGGTGCATTTTCGGCCCCAACGTTGGACGTCACGGGCCTCCTCTGGGAAGGGACGCGTCCCCTCGGGCACGCAAGGGCACTCGTATTTGGCAGGGTCGACCTACTACGGCGAAGCGAACCACGCCCCCCCTTGGACACAATATGGCTATAGTACCCGTCCCCTTGCTGGCGAGGGGGGAGGGAAATTCGTTACGTTTCCTATCACCGTTCCAGGGGGGGGCCCCATTTGGTGAAGTCCCTGTCCCAGCCGCGGGCCGATGGGAGAAAGCCGCGCTGTCCAAACCGTAACTTGCCCCCTCTCCACACCCTTCGAAATCTGATGCGGGGCGCACCGGTCCATCAGATCGGAATCCCCCGCTGGAAAGCCTGCCGGGGGCCGCGAAATCAGCCCCTCACGAACTTTCAAAATCACCCCCTGGAAGACTTAATTTTGAAAGTTGGCGAGGGCCCATGCTTCTGGCCTTGGGGGGCCATGGATGGGCAACTAAAGCCACCTCACCCCTGGAACATTGTGCCGCATGACAATGGTTGTTATGCCCGCGTCCGACCCCCCTGCATTCGACCCGCGGTCGAATACGCAAGCTGGGCTGAATCGATCCTTCAACGGCCAGACTGGGAACTGTCGTGCCTCCAGTCCTGAATAAGGAAGATGATGATGATGATGATGACGCGCCTTGAAAGGTCGGTTCTCCCTAAACACAAACCTGAGAAGCCACCAATACGCCAAGCGCGTACGGTAGAGAAAGAGGGAAGCGGGGCTGAATAAGGAATCATGGGTCTGAAGCAGAGCTCCAGCTGTGGATCGGCCGCGGGTACGGGGCCACCCTTTCCCGAACGACGACGACGACGAAGACAGACGAAGACGGCTGGTTACAATATGTACGCTAGGCCCCTTTTTTGTACAAAATTGCGGGGCCACTACCCGAATAACGACGACGACGACGACGTCGACGACGACGACGACTCGCCACCGCCATCATTGGATAAGGAATCCTCCAGGATCTGGGCGCATTCTTTAATCAACGCCCCCACCGCAATTAACTCCGACTGTATTGAATTCACGTGGGTCTCAAGTATTGGTATCTTTTCCACATTTTACTCACCTGACCTGCATACATACTTCATGTTCCAAATGATGTGGCCGAGCTGATATACGCCCGGGCTTAGTTGCCAGCTGACAAAATGCCGCTGTCGGGCCTCTCGGGCCCATGGCCTGAATGAAACGAGCGGAGCGGCTCGGATCAGATGGGGGACTCGTCCAGCACGTCAGCCACCTGAGCCGCTGCGATCATCTGCTTCCTCGTGCTTGCCACGTTGTACAGGAACCAGCACCCGATTGCGGCCCAATGCATCGCGTTGCCGGTCACGACCCGCTGATCAGTAAGTTGGACCCCGTCGGAGTCGATGTCGAGCAGCTGGCAGTCGCAAGGGAAGAAGCGCGACAGGGCATGCGGAGCCACAGCAGGGTGCGGGAAGCCTTGGACCAACCACTGCGAGAGAACTGGCACCAACTCACCGTTGGCACCGCGCACGCCGCTTGCCACATCGACGAAGTGGCTCTTCGTGAGAATGGCTGGGAAGATGGTCGTCGGAATGCTCTTCCAGAACTCGGGCCGCTGGTTACTATCATGAATGGCCATGTGCACGGTGAAGTTGCCTTGGCTGTCGACCATCGTCTTCTTAGCCACCAGCATAGCGTCTTCGACATACCTATTCTGAGAATTCGTGAGGGCGTCCTGCAGGGTGACGGACTCCAAGTTGATGGCCAAGCTTGCCCCAGCGCCGCGGTGCCCGCGCGCCATCGCGAGCATCTCGACCTTCCTTGCGTAGTCGATATTCTCCTTCGTGGCTGAATCCGTGCTGTCGCCCCTCAGGTAGATGGAGCCGTTGGCGACGGTGTTGCGAAAGAACAAAGACTCGAATGGCGCCCCAAAACAAGTCTCCACGAATGGTTGCAAGTGGAATGCCGTGTACTTCCGGAAACGCGAAGAAGGGATGCCAAGATCAGATGGGCCGAACTCCGTGGACACACACTTGTAGGATTTCTCGTCGTCACCGTCGGCAGGGCCGGGAACCGTTGAACGCGCGGTGACTGCCTTCAACATTCCAGGGGTCGCGTCATTCAAGATGTCATCCAAGATCTGGTGGTCGAAAGACAGAACGTTCTCCTCTAAGGCCGTGTCCGGCTCATAGAACCTCGCGGAGTATGCCCAGGTCAGGAAGGGCAGAGTCGACTCGTCGAGCCAACCTCCTGAGAGCTGGCGCATGTTTGACCACGGGCAGCATGTGTGGCCCGCGCACTCCAGCCAATAGGACTGCGAGAACTCCTTGTTGGACCTGGGGCAGATTGGACACTGGCCGCCGTGCTTCAGGCAGAGGTCCGTCTCGTTGAACTCAGTGAACTTCAGGATATCTTTCATTTCTTCGACCATCTTCATGCCAAGGTCAACGCGTATCGTATCTAGCTCTGCTTTGGTGATGGCTTTCAGGGTGAACTCAGTCTTCGCCTGCTTCCAATCCGAGAGTCTGGTCTTCTCGATGTCGAGAAGCCTCTGCTTGATCGAGGGCGGCAGCCTGCCCAAGACGTCGCCAAAGAGGTGCAGGGGGGCCCCGGCGGCCCGATCGTCCAAGATGATGCGCTGCGCAGCTGGATTGATCTCAGTGGCAGAGTACGTGACCAACTTCACCTCGCCCTCGTAGTTCAGCTTGTCCTTCAGCTCGCTGAGGACCTGAGACGCCACGCACTCGAATGTCTCGGTGCCAGAATAGCTCGATGTGATCACCACGTCCATGCCAAGCATCGCCTTCAGCTCGTCCTGGCAGTGCAAGCCAAGGGATGATGAGGCCATCACGAGGTGCTCGACGGCCGTCGGCACCGTCTGCACGACGCCCTCTAATGTCTTCGGGCCGTCCGGGAACCACGATCCGTGGCGCCGCAGCTTCCTTGTCGTGGCACTGTGCCAGCGTGCGTCATTCGTGAGAGCACTGTCGTCTATGGTGTCTGGCACCAGGTCACCGCCACCGTCGGAGTCCGAGATCTCGATCTCGATGGCGGTGGCATCGTCGCCGCCGGCGCCCCCGGCAGCCTGCGCGCCGCCACCGCTGGGCGACGGCGACGACGGCGGCGGCGCCCAGGGCACGCCGTCCTCACAAGGTTGAAAACCATGCGACGACACAAATTCGGCACCCCCCCCCCCCTTTTCACGGCTTTGAGGCTCTCGGCGAGGAGCGGCTGCTGGGCTGCTGAGGAGGGCCATCCCCCGCTCTGTCAGAGACCTTGCCCTTCCTTCTACTCCTCCTCCTCCTCACCCCCTCCTCCTCCTCTTCTTCCTCCTCCTCCTCCTCCTCCTCCCCGCTCCTCATCCCTCCTTATTTGCCCATGCCCTGAGAACTGTCGCGCGTCACCTCTTAGCCCTGGGGAGTCACCTGTTATCCCTGGGGCACCTGTTAGCCCTGACCTGTTAGCCCTGGGGCATGTCACATGTTAGCGTTGGGGCCTGGGGCTTGTCTCCTGTTAGTTCCGGAGCCTGTGTCCACTCGCAAAGGCAGCGGAGCATTGGTCCAGGGTAAAGCGAATATGGCACCCAAAGGGCCAAAGGGGCGTCTTCGCGTGGAGTCGGCTCCCATCAGGGAGTGAGTTGCTTGATCTGTCCGCCAAGACCTCTGGCGGACAGATCCCATTTCCCTCAGAGTGAGTTGCGTGACCAGGGCGTTCGTAAAAAAAACGCCTCATCCCCCTCCCTCCTATGCCGCTCCTCCCTCCCCAAACTACTAATTATTCCTACGTTT